ACAAAGGAAAGACCAGTTAAGCAGGGGAGACCTACCTCGGCACTTGTGCAGGTGAAACCAAAGGGAAGATATGCTTCACCATATTTTCTAGTGTTTGTCTTAGAATAAGGTTGATTTGGAAACATATTCAGCTATGCTTCATCTCCTGCTTTGCATTTGTGTAGGAGCCCCGTGCTAGCAGTGTCCAAGCATTGTTTTATTTTTTTTTTTTTTACCCTTTTCATACCGCGCCCCCCCTGCAATGGCTCTGCGCCCCCCCTAGGGGGCGGGCCCCACACTTTGGGAAGGTCTGACTTAGTACATGTATTATTATTATAGTTTATTAACAATAATGAGTTATTAAATTATTGTTTTTATTCAATATGTAAATTTGTATCACTGTAAAGTGTTGCTGCAGTGAAATTTGTCAAACAATTCTGTTTTCCAATTTTACCTTATTCTTTTAACGAGATAAGTGAAAAACTTGTCACGCTGACATGATGACAGGAGGAAATCTCAGATCTTTAACAGAATACAAATAAAAAATAAAATAATAAACTCATGGTGCTTGTAATTGAGAGCCACCTAATACAGTATGGATTTATGCCTTGTTATGAACAACAAGTGCAGTGAAAGTGAAGAAAATCAATATGCATGAGCTTTGATGTGAAAAGCTCATACACTGAAAATCACAATAAATGAGAGACATTCACACATCTTGACAACAAGTCCTCCCTCTGTGGCTCTTCAGTGGTTAGTCTGCATAGAAGCTCTTAATTCACCTGACTTTATGAACTCTGGCATACAAGCAATCGTCTTCTGTAGGTTCAGTGTGCTGAAGCGGCTTTGAAAAGTGGACTTGGCCATACTCCACCTCTGCCTCCACCTGTCCTGTTTGCTCCACTCGCTTCTCCTGCTGTTTCATAACCCCTAGATTAGCATATGTTACTTCGTGCTCACCTTCTTCATCTGCAAATTAGCAAGAAATGTGAGAAATTGTGAGACTTCTTTGCTTTTTTTTTTGATAGGAGTGAAATAAAAATATTCACTGTCATGTCTGCTGTGGAAACAGCTGTTTCGTTTTAGCACAAAGACTGGAGACGATGTGAAATGGTTTGTCTGACTCTGATCAAAGTTCACACAAACAAAAAGATTTAAAAAATGTTTCAATAGTGAAATGTAGTTTTATTGTTGGGGGAGCTGTTTCTCCTTCTTTCCAGTTACTGTATTAAAGTGAGCTGATCAGGGATAATCAAGTTTTTGTACCTTTTTCTTTTATTGGTCTGTTGTTTTGCTTTTTCCTCTGAGCACAGATGAGTGCTACACCCACAACTAAGTAAATTACAGCTGCTGAGAGAACAACACTGACCAGTGGGAAATCTCCTGTTCAAAACAAAGAAAGCCACAAACACAGATGTTTGAGTCAGCAAACACACAACATGTTTTTATAGAAAAGGACAAGAAGGAAGAGGAAAATTACACACATTGAACTACAGGTTTTTATTTTCCACTTACTAATGTACCATGGGTCATCACTGCTGTTAGTGGAGTTTTCTTTTGACACGATGCCAGTTTGTGTATGATCTGTTGTTGTTTTAATACACAGGGTGTTATTGGCTTTATACACCCACCGTGATATCTGTGACCCATTGACTGAAGTGCAGTTAATGAAAATGCAGCCTATGAGCAAAAACAGATTATTTATGTAAGACAAAGCAACCAAAATGATGATACGTGTTATTATCAGAATGTTCTCACTCACAACAGGTAGATATTCTCTCCTCTTTGGAGACGTTGTTCCTGACTGAGCAGACAAGACGTCCTGAGACGTGCTGTTTCAGGGTGATGATGTTACTCTCATTATTTACAGAAAGAAGCTCAGCATCTGTCAGTGTGCGTCCATCCAGAGTCCAGCTGTACTGAGGACTGTCCCCTCCCTCAGAGGAGCAGGACACCTTCATCTCTCCCTGGGACAGACACTCAGAGAGCAGCAGGACAGAGGACACAGGAGCTGAGAGAAACACATAGATGAGTTTAGATGTTAAATCAGAATCTTCGACCTTCTTTTAAGTCTCAAATGAAAAGCACAAAATACATGTGTCTTGAGTTTTTTTTTTTTTTGCATATTACAAAGGTTATCAAACAATGTTAAATTGATATCTATTCATCTGTTATGAACAGAGAAAAAATACCTTGAATAAACAACTGTAAAGTCCGCTGGCCTGATGATTTTCCATCTTAATCAAAGGTCTTAAGGCTATAATTACCACTGTCATTGCTGCTCAGGTTATTGAGCCTAAATGTTCCATTACTGGGAATAATGGTAGACCTGCTTCCTATCATATTAACCTGATCATTTTTCACATCTAATATTTTTAAAGAATTCTTTAATAATTGGTATCTAGGTATTTCTGAGGTGCTTTTCATCAGTTGGATATCCACACTTCCTCTCAAAGCTCCATAACACTGAGCTCCATCCTGTCTGCCATCACAGTAAGTTTTCACACCTGCAAAAAAATAAATAAAGCTGTCATAGGTGTTAGTTTATCCCCAGATTGCCTAATGCAGTGGCCTGAATTCTAGCATAGAGGGCTTTGCTGTGTGCCCTCCTTTCTCTTTCTCTTTACGGAAAGCTAAAGATCAGAAGTGGAAACAAAAGAGGGTCAAAACACCACCAGGACTCAAAGACTAGGCAGACCAACCTGAGCACTGGGTGGATTAACTCTAGGAACACTTAAAACTCAGTGCCTTACACATGGATTTTGTTGTGCTTGGCGTTATACAAGACTAAGTATTATAACAATACTGCTTCAGACTTTATTGTTGCCTTTCTTACACTTGAAGTTTTGTACTGTCGTAATTCAGTTCTGTGCATTTAGGATGTAGTTAGAATGATGTGAAAATGTTCCCTGTTCCTCTCTATTCCGAGAGGAACAGAGAGGTCATGTATTGACTCAGCAGGCAGCTTTCAGACAAACTTCTCTACTTAACACAGATGCAAACTTGTACAACCTACATACAGCTATTTCCTGTTAGTGATCATTTCCAGATAAGAACATGTAAATATAGACCAGGCAGGAAGAGATTAGTATCACATCTTACATTTGCTTTCAGTATCTTAGTATTAACTACTTAAAGCACTTGCCAGGAGACATTATCAGGTTATTCATACTAAAATCTCCTCGTCCAACTTAATATCATCTGACTGATTCCTGTTCTACATTCAAGTCACTATTTTATCTTCTTCAAATTATTTAAAAAGTAAAATTGTTCACATTCAATATGCGTTATATTCACATTGGATAATCAACATGAATTTTTCAGTAAATAACAGATTGCTTTACATCTCAACTCTGAAATCATGGCACAAGAAATAACCATTTGCAAGTTGTTTACACTCATTCTATGTTAAGACAGTTGAAATGAAAAACATTTTAATGAGTAAAAATGAAAATGGATCGAAATGTGATATGAGATACATACCATGAAAACAAACACAAAAAAAGTGTGCAAACAGGAAGTTGGTTTTGTATAGCAGAAATAAATAGAAATAGTCTAAATAATTCCAGAGTATTAGATTCTAAAACGTATGCACAACCTGTCCAGGATGTACCCCACCAATAGATGGATGTATGAGATGTGCAGACTTTATATATTTGTTACTGAATATGGAAACGCTTTTTAGTACTTTAGTGCTCAAATCCTTTTTAATTATCTCTCATAATAATGCATAATGTAAAGCTTTTATTAAGTGTCTTTTAAAATAAAGTGCTAGTAGAAATACATGAAAAAAGCTCACTATAAGAAACTCCGACCAGCAGCACCAGCAGTCCCACCGCAGCTTTCATGTCTCGTCTCTGTTCAGTGTGTGTGACCCAGATAGAAACAGCCTGCAATGTATCCTGTTAAAAGCTTTGACCTATAAGAACATTGTTATACTCATCTTTTTTTTTTCTCTGAGGTGTAACTAAGGAGGTCTTATTTTTCTTCTGCTTTCAACATCCCACGACTGGACATTTCTGAGCTGAAAAAAGGAAACAATCCTTATAAGTAGTCAAACAGAGAGAGAATCGTTGCACGGTAAAAATTTATAACCACGGCCACATTTCTTCTGCATATGATGATAATAATAATATTGATAGATTTTATTTGAAAGCACATTTCAAGACACCCAAGGACACTTGACAATAGAATAAAACACATAATAGAACAATGACAACAAGGAACAATAAGAAAACTAAAGCGCAACGTAAGATAAACAAACAATAGGTTCACAGTGAATATGCAGATTTGAATAGATGGATTTTGAGTTGAGTTTTAAACTGGGGGAGAGAACCAATGTTTCTTATATCTGGGGGTAGAGAGTTCCACAGCCTGCAGAGCAACTGAAAGCTCTGAAGGTGAGCAGTAGAAGTTTGTATTTAATCTGGAATTTTACAGGGAGCCAGTGAAGTTCCTGGAGAACAGGGGTGATGTGCTGGTAGGAGGCGGTTCTGGTAATAATGCGGGCAGCAGAGATTTGAACCAGTTGAAGCTTATGGAAGGACTTTTGGGGGAGACCATGCAAGAGAGAATTACAATAGTCAGTACAGGAGGTAACAAGACTGTGGACAAGAATGGACGCATACGTTTGAAGTGTGTAGTCGCCGTAATTTAGATTTTTATAAAGTCAGAAATATCCATGATACAGTTTTGGACAACAGTTTT